CCCGGGTCCAAAGGATGTGCTCTGCTCCCAGTGCTTCTTTCTTGGTGGTATGAGGTCCCCAATCTCTGCTTGCTTCCCTTTCCTTTTATCTCTTGTAAGATAAAAGGTGGTGCAGACCACACCCCAGGGAAACTCCCTTTACGTTGGATCAGGGATGTGACCTTAGTAAGGGTGTTATAATCCCACCATAATCCTCTTTAACATAAAAGTACAATCACAAGATGGAGGACAACCACACGCTACTGGGAATCAAGTTGACACGTATTTTGGGGGGACACAATTCAATCCATGACAGTGGGTTCAAACCACCACCTTTCAGTTCGCAGTCCAGCACTTAACCATTGGCACCACCCAGGAACTCCAGGATGGGGGCTAAACCAAACCTGTTGCCGTTGAGTCAATTCCTATTCATAGGAACCCTAAAGGACAGAGTAGAACTGCCCCATAGGGTTTCCAAGGAGTGGCTGGTGGATTCAAACTTCTCATTATGACAAAATTGTAGAAAGGTATCAAACATGGTGCTCACCCAGAGCCTCGCCTCTCACCAACATCTGATCAATTGGTTACGATATTTTGCATATTTGTATTGTCACCTCACACCATGGATTAACAGTGCCCTCTTTACTACTGGAAGCAGAGTCATCAACATCTTTAAGATTAACCAGGCTTGAAAACCCATTTAAAAAACTCATCTTTACAATTTTGTTTCTCGAGAACTACTCTCAGTACCAAATGTCTTAGGCTAGGTTCTGTAGAGAAGTAAAACCAGTAAAGCCTATACATACATAGAGAGAGAGATTTATAACAAAGAAATGGCTCACACGGTTGTAGAGGCTGGAAAGTCCCAAGTCCCTGGTCAGGCAGGAGGCTTCTCCCGACTCATGTAGCTACAGTTTTGGTTAGCAGCCAAGCTCTTAACTACTGTACCACCAGGACTCAAGGATGAGGGCAGGGGAGGCTTGGATGGGAGATGGCTGAGGTTGGGTTAAAGAAATTAGCAGTAGAACTTCTGTATTATGTCCTGGTTAAGCCACCCAGAGTGATTTTTTTTCTCATTAAAATTCACAAAAACTTTAAAAAATTGGTACAATTATCATCCCTGTCTGAAGGTAAGGAAACTAAAGCTCAGAGAGGTTAAGTGACTGACTCTGGTCACATGACTGACTAGTGACAGGCAGGAATCCACTGGCCATCTCCCACCTCAAGTCCAGGGCTCTGTCCCTGTCACCGCCAGTACAGCTGCCTCAGGAGCATTTCTGAATTGCCAAGGTTTAATCCAGTAGTTAAGAGCCCTGGTTAAGTGCTAATCGAAAGCTCACACCCACCCAGCAGCCCTGAGGGAGAAAGACCTTGTGATCTGCTTCTGCAAAGATTACAGCCTAGAAAACCCTGTGGGGCAGTTCTACTCTGTCACACTGGGTTGCTATGAGCCAGAATCAACTCGACGGCACCCAACAACAATCGAGTAATTGCTCTCCCCAAACATCTTATAGCCCCAGAGCCTCATGCCCAATCCCAGACACCAGGTGGCCACTGGAAGGAGGTGACCTGGGGGGAGGTCCCAGAACGGCTGAGGGAACTGCAGGTGGTTAGCTGGAATAGGGTGGCTTCTCAGCTGCCTCTGGATCATCTGCCCCAGACACTGTGCTGTGAGTCCTCTGTTCAAAGTCCCCTGGTGGCGTTCTATGATGTTGGGGTCTTAGAGACTGGGTCTGATGGGAGCTGTCATTGTAGATTGCTGCTCAGTCAGACTCTGCAAGGAGTATTGGTAAATGGGGAAGGGATTCAGTGGGTGGAAGGGCTGGGAGCTTCACGTCACATCCGCATGGCCAGGGAAGGCACTCCTGAGACCCTGCCACAGTTCTTGAGCATACCTGGTACCTGAGGACACCAAGGATGTTCCCTAGGACGTGAGGCCCTGAGACCTGTCCTGGGCAGGGCTGCACTCTGCTTGGTGTGCGGGGGCAGACATACACCAGTCTTCCCCCCATCTCTCCTCCAAACCATCTGTCAGCCCTCCCTAATTTCTCCCCCACGCCCCCCGACCTAGGTCTCTAGGTCCAGGGCCTCAAACTCCAGGATATGGTTCCGATTTCCTTCCTTTTCTACTCAACATAGTGCCCTCAGGATAAAGTTCAAGTTCCCAGACAAGATTAAAGGTCTCTGTAATTCAGAGCCATCATGTAGGTTCCAGAGCCCTGGTGGCGCAGTGGTTAAGAGCTAAAACTGCTAACCAAAAGGTCAGCATTTCGAGTCCACCAGCCGCTCTTTGGAAATCCTACGGGGCAGTTCTACTCTGCCCTATAGGGCCGCTATGAGTTGGAGTCGACTTGACGGCAACAGGGTTTTGTTTTTTTTTTTTTTTTAATGTAGGCTCCAACCTAATCACCAGTTGTGCCCTAATACAGCCTGTCATCCCAGGTGGCCCTGCTGCCCCATTCTCTCCCTAACAGGCTCTGGCAATCTCCGCTCCTGGCCTTTGCTCTGGCGAACACGCCTGCCTAGATTTGGAGGCAGCAGAATAGTGTCTCTTGTGTCTTCCCAGCAATGTGAGCCTGACAGATTACTGACTTCTTTAGGCCTCTTACTCCTCCCCTGGAAGATGGGGCTACAACTACCTTCCCAGACTGTGCAAGGCTGAATGAGATCATGCCCAAGCCCTCCCTCCACGGCACTCGGCAGGTTAGGTAAACACTCAACTCAGGTCAGCTGCGATAACAAGCAGGCCCTCCACCTCTTCCATACCTACCCAAGCTCCAAATGGTCTTCAAGGCTGTTCTCAGACTCTGTGTCCTCCATGAAGCCTTCCTACTTCAATCACACTTGCTTCCCCCTTCTCTAAACTCTTGGAGCACTCACCATCCACATCACTCACTTTGGCAATTGATTGCATTTTGCCTTCTGTTATTTACCATGAAACCGGAAGTACGGTCTTCACCCTAACTTGACCATTAGGCCAGGCCAGGAACTTCTAAGGCCAGGCCAGGAACTCTATTTTGCACTCTTTTTTAAGCCCCATGGCCCAAGCACATTATGAGTATTCAGTAAACACCATATTCTTGTTCAAATCTAAATGGAATTTCCATCAACTTGGCATTCTCCCCAGAAGAACTAGGTATTACCTGAACCTGGAGACCCGATATACACTTTCTCTTCTGAGACATTCACAAAACAAACAAACAAATCTGTTGCCATCAAGCTGATTCCGACTCATAGTGAGCCTATAGGACAGAGGAGAATTGCCCCATAGAGTTTCCAAGGAGCGGCTGGTGGCATTGAACTGCCAACCTTTTGGTTAGCAACCGAGCTCTTAACCACACAAACATGTAAAAAGACCCATCCTAGATTCCCCTTTCACCATCAAGTCGATTCTGACTCATAGTGAGCCTATAGGACAGAGTAGAACTGCCCTATAAAGTTTCCAAGGCTGTAATCGTGACAGAAGCAGATTGCCACATCTTTCTCCCCTGTGAAAGTGGCTGGTGGGTTCAAACCGACCACCATTCGGTTAGCAGCTGAGCACTTAACCACTGTGC